GTGGAGATAAAAATGGACATTGCTGTATCTCCCCCGTAGTGATCCTGGTCCAAGCTCCCTAAAATAAATCATACAATGTACTTTGTAGGGAGCACTGTGGCACTTGAGTTATTATTAACAGTCAAATGGGCAGGGATAGGGAGGAACAAGGTGCAATGACAGGGATTTCATTAGTGTAAAGATTTGCGATCTGGCCCTGACCTGGATAGCCCAGGCAAGCCTGATCTCATCAGCAGGACCAACCCTAGCAAGTATTTGGATGGGAGACCTACAGAGAATACCAGGGCCGGGAGGCCAGAGGGAGGTTATCAAGCCACTTCTCTGAAAGTCCTCCGAGTGCCAGTAGGAGTCGCCAGAGGTCACCATGCAAATTGAACCCAGTGCCTTCTTTGAGACCTTGGGGGTGGGGACAGGCTGTAAATCAAATTAAAATAGTAAAATAAATGCTAAAATATCAGGCTATTGTTAATTCCAGCTCCACCCTCAATTTAGTCAGAGTAGATAACACTATATTAGATGGACTAATAGCCTGATTTAATCTAAAGCAGCTTCATATATACATATTTAGGAAGAAAAGTTTCTATCTGTTACCCAGTCTAAATATGTGGTAGTGAAACTTAATATATAAAATGGAGTATAAAACTACCTAGGGAGAGCATTCAAGGTCTGCCTTTACCAGAGGTCCTGTCACACATAAAAAACCCTCCTCTTAAATTTATAGCAATCCCAGGTCTGAACTTTCAGGTTCTGCATGTCAGGCAGATGATAAATGAATACCAGAAGGAAAAAAAATCATATTTTTATTGCATCACCATTACTCTTAATAACGTCTTCTCCCACATGGAATCTGTACAGCAGTTATTAAACTGTTCAAATTTCCCCCTTTTCTTTAAATCTGTTTCCTATGCAGCACTAGCTGACTTTCCATCTGTTCCATTTCTGTTTTAATTCATACCCCACAGAGCCTATTGTTTCCAAATCAGTTGGTCCATCAACATTTTATATTCACAGCCTAATTTTGCATTCTCAGTTTTGCTTTTGTTAAGTGACCTGATTTCCTTACCTTGCATATTTTAAAGAATTATCTTCTATAGATTGCAGTTTCCTAGGGCTCAGGAACACCCACATTCACATGTTTTCTTTGAATAGTATGTTAAGCATAATGCATAAATGGGTCCCATCACCTTTCCCTTGCCTCCAACTCATCCCAAACTCTTAATGTAATGTACATTAAAATAGTTAATTTCCTTAGCTAGTCATTAATATCTTTAGACTAGAACACCGAGCTCTTTATGATGTGGCCACATTATAAGGCTACTTATCAAACCCCTATTAAAAACTCCAACACAGAGCTCTTCTTTTCAATAATTTTCAGCTTTAAAGTCTCCCACCTTAATTCAGAACTAACATACTATGTTGGCTGGTTAAATATTCCTCACATAAAGAAGTGATATTTTCAGCAGTATCTTAGGTGCACAAACATTAACAAGGCCATCTTAGTCAAACCGTTCAGTTCTCAACCTCACAAAACTAGGGTTTTTTTTCCATTCTGAGAGAGTAATTTGAGATCAGCTGCTATTCCTCTTTTATATATTATAGTGCACTAAATTCAGATATGTTATTTGCTCCCATTTTCAAAACCTAAGTTCTCAACACTAAGAGCAACAATGCATCACTGTGTTATTTTTCCTCCAGCTTGCTGTGTAATCATTTAAGTAACTATGAAGACCTGAGCTGCTCCTGATTTATAGATAACACTTATATTACAGTCTCTAAATCCTTTCTCTGCTGCAACCAGTAACTATTCTCTTACCAAAATGTTGTTGAAGTTATCATCGCACCTACAATTTTGAATAGGGTGGCTAAATTTTGGCCCAGTCCAAAATAACTAAGGGGCAACCCAATGGATAGATTTCCATTCTCACACCTGCCTTTGACCATTCTGGAGGAGACCCTGTTAACCGCTTTGTGCTGCCAACGATGCTCTCAAAATCACAAGTTGCAGTGCCAGCAAGAAAGTTCCAACATCTCCACTGAAGTCCTGTCAAATAGTACAATATTTGACAGGAACAAAGGCTACACATAAGTTTAGCAAGAATGATCATGCATATCTAACTAAAACATTTTTTTACAATAAGAAATGAGGGAAGTGCACAGCCAAATATTGTCAGCGATCAGGAATTTTGTAGGACAAATACTCATTTACTGAGGAAGAAACAGATGGATTTAGTATTTTTAAGAGTCCTTAATTGCTCCTAGCTGCAGCAGAAAATGAATGTGAAGAAGATACAGCAGGATATAGAAGTCAGTAAAATATAATTACGTTTTAAAAAAATATATAGACCCCCTACAGAGTTGTTAAGACGTGGGAAGCAGCTCTAGGAAAAATCAGACCATCTTAATGGGATCAGATGGCAGGCTGTGGAAAGCAGGCTCAGCAGCAGAGGATATGCTCTGAGTTTGTATGCAGCAGGTCCTCCGTACCATTCCTGGCATATCCAGTGACAAGGATTAGGTAATAGGTGATGTGAATGACCTGAGATCCTGGAAAGCTGCTACCAGTCACCATAGACAATACTGAGCTTGAGAAACTAATGGTTTGACTCAGTATAAGGCAGCTTCATGCGTTTCACCTGAGAAGGAAGGAAGGAAGGTCGGTCTTCTTTGCTCAGTCCAAAAAAGTACTGGGAAGGTTTGCAAAATCTGTACTGCCATCTTTTGCTTATACCCATCTTCAAACCTTGCAGATGAAGTGTTCCAACTGTCCCAGTTTTATTTAGATAGATGGTATCCACAGAAAATCATATTTTTTTTGCACAGGACACAGAAATACAACTAGGAATTTCACAGTACTTTTAAAATATGTAACAATATAGTGAAGCAGTGGGCCAGACTAGGATTGTGAAGACCTATGTTCTAATCCCCGACTCACCTGTAAAGACTACTGGATGACAATGGCCGAGTCACTCCATCTCAGCCTAATTTACATGGTTGCTGTGGGGACAACACTGGTGAGGGGGTAATCCATGTGCACCCCTTTGACTTCCTTGTAGCAAGGGTGAGTAAGCATGGAATACAGAGGTATAGGCTGCATGGGCAAACAGACCTTGTGCCTCTACCATTTACCACAGAATGCTTAAAGGGCTGTTATTCGCCCCATCTTTCCACAGTACTTACAATGCTGTTCCTTATAAAAGAAATACAGACTGCAAGGAAGTGTACAAACAAGTACTGCTGTGGCTGCTCTCAGCCGGGTAGTAAAGTCAAAGTCCTGGACTGATGTCTTTGTAATTATGCAGGCAACGGAACTCTATACATGGATCACGTGTCCATACATTTTTCCTGTGCAAGTAAACACAAGTGGGGGATGGTGAGTTTTGATGGGAAACAGGATGAAAGGTAGGTGGGAAGTTAAGTAACCTTCCTTTCTGCCCTCCCTCCAGTATCTCCCTTGAAATGGCAGATCATGCTGCAATTTGTAAACAAACAAACAAGCAAACTCAGCAAAAAGGATTATGGAAGTTCTACCCCTAGTCTGATTAATGTGAAGCAGACTTACATAGCTTATTTTACTTGCTGGCTATTATGCACAGGATTACAGTACAGTCAATATAGCAAGCACTGCAAAAACAACAACAAAAACAACAAAACCCCACACCAAAATACAAACCTGAAACCAAATTAGACAACGTGGATTTTTTTTCATGATTTCTCTGTTGTTAAGTACCAGTATATCACTTTTTAGTTTTTTGACTTCATAACTAAAGATTGATTTCATAACTAAACAAAATGTCAATTTTCATTCCCTTTTCTGCCTCTCACTGGTTGCAGTGTATTTTATTAAAGAGTGTGCCATATTCAAGGAATATTATCCCAATGGCCTCTGGGCAAAGACCCACCAATTTTCATCTGTTTATGTTGATCACCCTCTTGCTCCTGTTCTGCTTCCTTATGTGTTCAAGAAACAGGGGAAAGCATCTTCTTAATTAACAAAGAGCACTGAGGATTCTATCAGTACCTTTATTGCTCCACCTCACAATATCTTCTCTTTGATGAAGCAGGAAACAGGCTTTCTCCCCAGCCTAGAGGTCCTGGCACTCAAGGGCTTTATAGTTACTTCTCACTCGCTTAATCTGTACTTTACCAAACCCCGATAAAGCCCACAGTTACAGTCACCCTCTAGTGGTACAATCTCTGTTTATGGCAACTTTTGACAAGTGTGGTAAGCCAGTCCGACGGACACAATACAGGCATGGAGAGACAAAGTACTGCTCACCAACCCATGTGAGCCTCTGAATGACTTCTCAGAGTTCCTGCCATCTCTGTCTGTTGATTCATTATCCACCTGACTGATCTGAAAACCTTTCAATATAATCTGAACAATGAATTTAGCAGCTGGGAAAGGCTTATGCTAAATATATGAAACTAAGTGAATTTCCACCTCCATTTCTCCATTTAAGATAACTCCCTGAGGCTTTCCGTCCACCAGATGTCAAATGAGCGCTTGCCCTTGCAACTAGAGTTGCCAGCTCTGGGTTGGGAAATACCTGGAGATTTTGGGGATGGAGCCTGGGGAGGGTCCTCAGGATAGTATAATGCCATAAAGTCTAACCTTCAAAGCAGCCATTTTCTCCAGGTGAACTGACCTTGGTTATCTGGAGATCAACTATAATAGCAGGAGATCTCCAGGTGCCCCCTGGGGGTTGGCAACTCTGTTTGCAACCCTAAATGTTACATTTGTGCACAATGTATAGTTTGGTTTTCATAATCTAAAGCTTCAGTTTGAAAATTCAGAGCACAGAATTTTGGTGCACTGAGGTTTTCCAGGAGAGTCAGCATGCTCAGCACTATTTTATGATTAAGTCTGAATGGCGATGGGAGTTATAGATTATTCTACTCAGTGGAAAGCACAAGCCTTCAGCAAAATCAGTCCAATGCTTCTTATGCAAAATGCTTCTTCTATATTTTGTTGGGAGTCCCCACCCTTGAATACTACTCACCATTATCAAATATTGTGCCCGCAGTGAAGGAGAGCTCTGAGTCATGTTCCGCTTTACATGCATATAAAGCTCTGGCTTTTCGAAATGGTGAGCTGTGAAAATAATTTTTAAAAATCAGTTGGGTATTAAAAGAGTTTCTATATGTTTGCTTCTGTGTGTAGATACAAAAAGTAGACTTTAAATTTCTGAAAAGTCCTTGAAAGACTTCTAAGAGGTGCCAAATGGCAAGGTGAAAACAAGAGCAAAGGTTTTTTTGGGGGGGGGAACTGAAGAATATTCTTTTGCCAAACCCAAAAATTCTTTGCTGATACCACATTTCATAATTTCAGACATTTTGCTAAGAACATTACTATAGCATTTGAAATTCAGGCATTTACATGGTTGCCCAATGCACTGAGCAATACTACGTCAGAGGGTCCAGTAAGAAAACAGAATATAAAATAGAAAAAAGAGGAGCAATTTGGCAGTCAGCTCAGAATATTTTTGAGAGCTGCTGATAAGAAGCATTTAACTAGGCACCTGGTTCTTGATTGGGGCGGACATAAACTCCATTGGCTCTGTCTCCTCAGCACATTAAATCATTTGGGGTGGTATATTTTGTTAAAGGCCCCCCCCAGCAGTTTTTTGTTCTAGCTCTGTTCCAGAACTACATTTGCTAAAGCATCAGAGTTCAAACTTTCAGTTTTGGAGGTACCCTTTTCTTATCAGTTTACCTGCTTGAGAATTTCAGTGCCTCTAGGTACACACTCTCAGTGCTTGGTAGCAGTGAAACCCATCAAGCCTTGCTATCACTCTGTGTGAACTGGCAAGAGCACTAGAAAGTATTTGACTTTTCTGTGAACTGCAGAACAAATAGGAATGGGGGCTCTCTATTATATACCAAGACTGTAACTGACTGCACTTCGGTTCAAAGTAATTAAACAAGGTTCTCTTGCTTCTGAGAATTTACTAGGTAAGGAGGTCTTTTTCTCCCCTTGTTGTAAGTAGGAAGGAAGTCTACACCAATATTTTTTAAAAAGGAGTACTATGGGGGAAGGCTATTCCAAGCGCAAATACTCTGGTAGTTAACAAGCCCTGGGACTTGAGGACTTCTTGGTTGCCTCAATGGAGGCATGTGCCAACCTTATGCCCTCTGAATGGAGGCCCACACAGACTAATCTACCTTTTTCTTCAAGGGGAGCACTTTTACTGAAAGCTGTGAAGGCAACTCTGTCCCTAACCAGGAAAGCCATTTGGAACATGTAAATCTGATATGATATATTCAAGGACAATGCACTCTCACTGACAGTGTGGTGGAGGAACACTTATTGTTACAAGAAACAAAAACCTGTACTGTTAGAGGAGTCTCTAAATCTTGTACTGTTAGAGGAATCATATATATATATGCTGTTACTGTTAGAGGAATCATATATATATATATATGAGAGGATCTGGCCAGAAGATAACTATCGTTCTGAACACTACATAGCTTTTTTTTCATGAACATGACACTGAGCTGGCAGATGTTATGGCTACCAAGAAAACAATCTTGAGGCTTAGAGCCTTCTCAGATCGTGCACTGAGAGGCCTAAAAGGCAGATGAGGAAGCACTTGTAGAACACACTTAGATCCCATAATGGCACTTCAACAGCAGGAGAGGAGATCAATAAAGTGGCACACAGTAATTTCCTGACCAGAGGGTGGGAAGAAAAAAAAATGCAGCTCCGTGATCTCATAAAATGTCTGTAACAGCTGACACCTTCCTCCTCAGCATGTGTGGGCAGAGATCGTTGTCCAGGCCACTGTGATGAAAAGTAAAATGTCACTGTGGCTTCAAGAATGGGATTTCCCAGATGTTTGCACCATGCACAATGGGCTTTCCACAAATTGTTACTATATAGACCCAGATATTAGACTTCCACATAGCCAGAAAAGTAGACAACCACCTGGGGGCTGCATCCAAAGGATTGCAGAGTTTGCCATTCAACCTCAATAAAGAACAGCTGTGCTTGAAAATGGAGAAGAGGTTCAGTATTACTCCCTTTTCTCCAACATTTACTATGGTTTTGTCAGATGATAAGGGAGGTTCTGATCTAAGGTTTCACCCCTCTTCTGAATAGTCAATTCAAAGGATACCAATAATGAAGTGAGCTGTGCTGCCCATGCAGGCCCCCCCAAGTGTAATGCCAGAGTATAATGTCATACAGTCCACCCTCCAAAGCAGCAATTTTCTCCAAGGAGTCTTATCTCTGTACTTTGAAGATCAGTTGTAATTCTTGGAGATTTCCAGGCCTCACCTGGAGGCTGGCAACCCTAGATGTGCCAATCTCCCTGCCTCTTCCATCATGACCTAATGTAGAAGGAGCAGAGGAAGTTGAAAGGCCAGGTGCTAGCTTCTGCTGCTTCAAAGCTCTGCCCTTCTTGTCTGCGGTTTTCTTGTTTGCCTCCCCACCTCCAGTGCCATGAAGACCTTGCCTCCCTTGCAATTGGCAGGAAGACAAACTGCTAATTGGTGGAGGCTCTACTTTCCAAGAATATGCTTTTAGCACTGCCCTACAAATCCCTGGTGGCAGGACCAAACCCAGTACTGAATTTCATCTAGCTTGTGAGGGGAGAAATCATTTTCCCCTTACTGAGATCATTAAAAAGGGGTTAACTGTAATTGGTGATTTAAGAGAGGATTATGGTTTGGCAGTTCACCTGCAAATAATCAGAAAGCACAGAGGCTTTTTTAATTTTTAAAGGGGGTGGGTACATTTCCTCAGCTCCAATTCATAATCAGCATTTTAATATGCACAATCATTCATCTAGATGGTTTACTTGCAAAGTAATAAATTAACGTCAACAACTGGTTGGAACAAAAAGCTGCTGCAAGACCTAACTGCGCACAAACAACCATTGGTCTTTATAAATTCTGGAAATGTGAACTGAAAGAGTGGCAAGAAACTAACTCATCAGCATTGTTCCATATACAGGACCAGACCCTAAATCAGGGATGAAGTTCAGATGGTGATAATGTTTGGAAACATCCCTGTTTTGTAACAGCAGGTATTTTATGAATGCAACATTTCCAGACAAATCAGGCTTCTACAAATCAAATGCTCCACCTCCTTTCTTTCCTGATTTAGACTATGCATAAGAAGAGAATCCACGTTTTCACAGAATTACCTGTCATCCCACAAAGGCACAAAAGAACACTTCTCCCCCAAATAGAGTTTTTAAGATTTACATTTGTGGACCAGATTAACAGGAATTTAATGAACCAAGGCACTACTTGGAATTCAGAAACTTGGAAATAAATTAGTAAATACAGAAACATGCCACAAGGAAATGTTTCAATTACAAGGCATTGTTGCTGTGAGATTTGCACAATCCTCATATTAAGTTCCTACAGAACTTTGCCCATGAAAGATCTTGTCATACCCACCCTAACGTATGTTTATAATTCTGAATTTTACATAACACAGCGCTATCAGTTACATATGTCTTCTATACTACAGAAGAAACAACATCATGCAGCTATCCATAACTCTGAAATCAGACCAATTTGAGAGATTTTAAGGGAGCTTTTTCATAAAAACTGACATGATTTCGGAGATGTCATGACTGGGATAGAGGCAGTGGGAAGAAACAAGACAAAACAGAGTGGATGATCCCCCACTATTCAGGAAATCCTGTAGCTATGCATCGTTGTGGAAGGAACTCTGGAAAAGCCAGGCAAATACAGTGCATTCTTTGGTAATTAATACCAATTAGCAGCTTTGCAAAAGAGTTTCCACTGCATGATCTAAGCCTGCCCTCCAATTTCCTTCCTCCTGCCCCTTGCTATATATCCATGCACGGTGCTGCAGTGCCCTTCTTTTGTGCTGCAGTGCCCTTCAAAGCCCAGCCTGGATTATCAAGGACCTAAATGAGCCCTGGTTCTGTCTGATCTTTTTTTAAAAATGTTTTGCCTCCAAGCAGGGCACATGGCCAGCAAAGCACTCAGCAGAGTCTCGACCATGCAACCATGTATAGTTTACAGACTAGCTAGAGATCCCACCCACCTCAAAATGATAGCGTTCTGAATATCTTATACTAGATGCAGCCTTGCATCAAAACCAAATCTAAAACTTATCTATGGGAGTTTGATGTTTAAGATACAAGGTTTGTCAGCCATTTTAATTTGAATTCGGCTGTAGTCTTGGGGAATGCACATGCCTTTTCTATGTCCTGTTAATCAACTAATAAATCTTCTCCCTTATATATAAAAGCCAAATGGTAGTGGCACTTCTCTAGAACATTCCACACGCTCCGTTGGTGCCCAGGTGTGTCACTCAGAATCTGTCCCTATCCACTGGCTGCATTGCTTGAGTCTCGCCTCCAACATTCTAAACAGTTTGCTGTTCTGAGGTAAAATGTGTCCAATCTCCAGGTGAGGGCTGGAGATCACTCAGAATTACAACTGCTTTCCAGATGGCAGAGATCAGTACCCCTGGAGAAAATGGTGGGCTCTGTATCCTTATATGCTGCTGAGGTGGTATGACAGCCAATGTGATGTAGCAGTCAGGGCTTTAGCGCACGGGAGAGGCTGCAGGTGTGTGGAGGGTGGAAAGCTGAAGAGTGAGGGGGAAATAAAGGTAGGTTGATGATTGGCTGAGAAGGAGACAGGGTTGCCAACTCCAAATGGGAAATTCCTGGAGATGTGAGGGATGGAGCCTGGAGAGGGTGAGGTTTCAGGAGGCGTGGGACCTCGGACAGGTACAAAGCCATACTCCACCCTCCAAACCAACCATTCCCTTCTGGGGAACCATGGTTGCCAATCTCCAGGTGAGGGCTGGAGATCACTCAAAATTACAACTGTTCTTTAGGTAGCAGAGATCAGTTCCTCTGGAGAAAATGGTGGACTCAGTGTCATTATACCCTGCTGAGGTCACCACAGCAAATTGACACTGAGTGTTCAAGGCTGGAGCACCCGCCCAGAGCAGCTTTCTAGAGCTCGTTGTATTTATTTCCACAACGAGCCTTTTTCCTAGTCTCATATAAAGTCCTTGGGAGAGGGAAATTATGGGCAGACTTGTGCTCCTGTTACAGGATATTCCTGAAAAATGTACCTCATTGGATTATCTACCTTGCATAGCCAGGTGTCTCTGGTCAGGCATGAGTCTGAGTGCTGGTTAGTAGCACTTCAGAGGCCACTAAAACTTACTTCCAAATGTGTTCCTGTGTGTAATACCCACCCGATGAAACAGCACATGACCCAAAGATGCTGTGTTCCACAGCAAGGCTGAATGTTGCTGTTTAGTTGTTACATACAGGTGGCCAGCAGGATGCCCGTATGTTTTTAGGGAGACTCCATGTGATGTGGATTTCCAGGGGATTTATCCTTTAAATGGAGCAAAGGAAAAACCTCCCTTGCTCCAACTTAAAGGGGAAATGGCAGGGTGGCTGTAGGCAGTGCCTCCGCCTGGAAGCTTCACTAGCAGCCAACCTGGGAAGGAGGCCGGAACTATGCTCTGCCTTCAGGAGGCAGAGTTAAATTCCATTCAGTCTTCTAATGGGTGGTTTTGGGGGTGAGGGTGATATCATAGATGTTGCCTCTTTAACTACGGCTCAGCTGGAGAGTAAGTGGTGGTGGGGGTTTCCTGGAGGGGAAGTGTGATTATCATCACCTTGATGCTTCTTTGCTGATAGGAATATTGCAAGGGGCAAGGCAGCAATAAAAGGGGGGGCATATGGTTGCCAGGTTCCCTCAAGGCTCCAGTGGGGGGATTTGGGGTGCGTTCTGGAAGTGGATGGGGATGCCCCAAGCCCCACCCCCAAGTATGACCACCCACCCGGCCACCCCTCTTCCTCCCCTCCTGCCTGATTTAAAAGGCTTCAGCTGATTGGGGGGGAGCACGTGGCTCGCTGACCAGCTGGAGGGCCTTTTAAATCTATCAGGAGGGAGGGAGAGGGATGGTTGCAGGTTGCAGCTCCACTCACAAAAAGTCAATTTAAAGGGTCTTTTTGAGAGTGATGTGGGGGCCATAGCATACAGAGCTGGGGGAAATCAGTGAGGCAGTGGATATCCAATTATTCCATCAACTGGAGTCCCCTGCTGAAACCTTCCCCTTTCAGACAGGCCATTAGGCGAAGGCCCATAGTCTCATCTATGGCCCAGCAGCTCCAGTTTTTGGGATTACTATACCAAACCTCCGTGCCATCTGTTTTAGTTTATAGCTCTGTTTTAATCTGTTTTAACTATTTATTATGAAATATTTATTGTGAAACTCTTATTGTGAGCCCGCTTGTGGGGAGGGTGGAATACAAGCCAAAATAAATAAATCTTAGGCCTACATCACCTTCAGTCTTCCAGTTTCCTTTATTTCTGATTTGTAACAACACTAATGTGCTGTTACCTCTGAACTGGACAAATGATACAGTTTCCAACTGCAAGTAACTACAGCTGCTAAACCACAGTTTTGCCAGCTTGGGTTTTACGACAAACTATAGTCTCCTGCAAACCAGGAAGGGGGAGGGCATGTGAATGCAAAACCACAGTTTGGTGTTATATTTGAACAGTGTCCATTGATTTAACAGAGGACTCAGAGCTTAGTTGAGTGTCAGAGTCAGTAAGAGAACCTGTTCCCAATAGAATCAAGGGCACAAACGTATGGATTAACAACATATTGGACTTCACCATCATGAGCCCTACACCTGTTTGTCCTTGTTGCTTCTCGTGTCTTTTCTGCTACAGTTTTTGTTTACTTGACCCCCTCCTCCCAAGTGACCCTGCCTCCTCTTCCTCTTTGCCCCAACTATTTTATACAGTTGTGCATTTTTTCCAGTATGCTTTTGCCATGAGTTCTGCACAACTGAACCATTCTCCATGACAATGGCAGCCAGTAGAATTTCATGAACAAAGTGGAGGAATTATTTTTTAGCATTGGATAGCCTATTGCTATTGAAATAAAGGCATGACTTATAAACCAACTAAAATGGGGAGAGACCATTCCATATAAAGAATAATGCTGCTACAAAGGTGCTAGCAGCACAAATGTGATAGTTTGCAGGTTGGACAAGCATTTGAAAGCAGCAAATAATGAAATAAAACTTTATTTTTGGCAGCTTATTCTATCTGCTTGGCTTAATGGGCCTGAAGTTTGGGCTTTGGATATATGCAGTTCGGCAGCATAATTATCCATTTTAGATATACATCTTCTCAATGCCATATGTTGCATGTGTTTTAGAAGACTTCACTGTTACTTCACTGACTATAAGTAACATGGATGACTTACAAGAGATGAGCAAACTTTACTTCCTGCTCTTTACACTTTGGGAGCAGTAACGGAAGCTTACCTTTTTGGAGTGGTGAATTTATTGAGTGCAGCAAGTTCAGCAATTTAACAACACTCACCAATCCATCAAGTCAACCACAGCTGAACCAAATTCTTTAAAAAGATGTCATACTGCAGCTGGGACGATGGGAACACTTGATAGCTTACTCATGCAGTGCTTAGGTTACTCAAGCTGTTCCTCAGTTGAGGGTCACATAAGGGTTAAAAGTTTCCTCTCCTGCTGTTTGATGGCAGCTGAGGGGCTGTGAAGGCTAAAAAGTAAAACGGCAAGCTGGACTGCAGTGAAGAAGCTTGAATGAGGCGGCGGGGGGGGGGGAACAGAAGTGTATCAACTTAAAATATAATAATAGCAGCAGCAGCAGCAGCAACTAAGACAAGCAAAATGAAACCCTCAAACCTGCAACGGACCTGATGGGGGATGAGTCGCTGGACGTAGAGGAGGTGGGCATAGGGCTGGATGGTGCGGAGAACATAGGCCAGGACGGTGAAAGGGGTGACGTTGGACTTGGATTCTGAGGGCTGCAAGACAGAATCAGATAACTCATCAAGACATAGGAAACCACAGCACAGCACAGACACACAGAAACTCAAGGCATGATCCAACAGCAACGTGCGTCCTTGGGGGGACATTTACAGCACAAGAGGAAACTCCAAAATGGTAGGCTCGTGGACTTTGGGAAATGGCTCCAGCAAAAACAAAAGAATAAACCAGGCTCTCTATTAACTCTTGCTCTGTGATTTCTTGGCTGGCAAGCCTGCATCTTTTGCAGCCTTCTCCAATAGCACCTCGTTGCACAAAGCTGCTTATGTCCCCTTCCCCAGAGATCCTTGCTTTGCTTCTGAGGTCCCCTGCTGATTTCCAAAGGTTGCGGGATCACATTTTGCAACACTTAACCAACAACCAAAATTACATCTCTTACTTTGTTTGTTTGTTGTGGTGCAAGACTGCTTTCTGTGGATCACAATCCACAGCACATGAAAACAATTTCCTGTTTACATTTAGAAGTAAATGAGCCTTGCATGCTGGAAACTCAGAGGAATTCATTACTGAAAGGATAGCAAGGAAGTGCTGCTAGAGTTGTCTCTACCACTCTGTATGGAACTATATGGAATGCGAGTTAGACAAGAAAGCTGTACAGTAAATCAAATTGATCAAAACTTGGGCAGTGGTGGAAATTAAAAACAGACTCAATGAATAAACTGTACATTTTGTATTCCCCAATCTTGAGAAAGCAACAAGCTTCTCAAAGGGAATAAAAACAATTTTAAACACAAGAATTTTCAGATATAAGAGGTTGAGGATCACATTAAGCATCCTACTGAACATGATTTCTGCTAGGGTAGGTACACAACTCATTGATTAACTGTAACCTACCACTCCACTAAGCAAAGTCTGAAGCCTTCCTCCAACTTAAGTAGTTCTTCCTGCAATTGAATAGCCATTTAAATTGGAGGAAGGCTCCTTCCTCCTTTTATAGTAGGACACTACTTACTGTCCAAAAGTACAATTTCTGTGTGTCAAATGTATCAATGGTCAGTGGAAGCCTCTTGGCATTCTAATACAGACCCATCTGGTGTGGAGCTATTAGTTTGGAGCTGCTGCATGTTAATTGTCTAATGCACATTGTGTTTTATGCAGGGATGCTTCTGAAACTCCCTCAGTCCAAATTTTATCACAGAGCCCAGAATCCAGAATTACCAAGTCCTTGCTGTGCAGCAACATTGGTGGCTGTTTTCCTCCATTGTTTCAGCTGCATTTCTGTACCCCAGAAAGCCTACAGTACACACACAGTTGGCTTTTGCCACAACTGTCTGTTTGTGCCATTTGTGTTGAATTTTCCCCATGCTGGTAAAGTCATGCATGTGAATGATTATATGTATTAACACACCCCTTTTTGTAGTTAACAAGAAGCTTAAATTTAAAAGCCTTTGTTGATTTTAATGTTTACGACTGTTTACATGCATGGCTTACCTACAAGGAAAAAGGAGCTGTATATATGTATATTCTGAAAGAATTATAGAAATTATCAAAGAAAATAGAAAGACAGAAGAACTAGTATATGGAAACTCATCAACCTGTAGAAGTTCGGCTAGGGAGATCCATGCACCATGAGTTTAGTGGAACCCCCCCCCCCCAGTTTAGAAACAAACATTTCACTGACAGTTTTAAAATGTTTGCTGCTTCAGTTCTAAAGGAGACATCAACACACCATGCAGAATTCTTTGAATATAAATATTTTAAGTTCTTTCTTTGTATTATAAAGTGGGATTAGTTTACTGCAAGTGCTGGAAGAGGAATTATAGCTTTACAGAGTAGAGAAACAGTATGGTTTTCCTTAGAAAACAGGAAACTGAATTCTAAGAAAATAGGTACATCCAATTCTGAGTGCCAAACTCGACATTACATTTTTTTTAACAAGACTGGTGAAGGTTTCCCTGACCTGACCTTCATTCCCTTTAGTCAGACAGATACTATTGGGAACAAATTTCCCAAGCACCACTGGGGCTCAGTTTGGATTAGGACTGTCGTGCTCAGGTTCATCCCTGAGCCCTGAAAATCCTGTCGCCGTTTTGGAAGAGAGATCGCAGAAGGAAACAAGCGCCTCAGATGTGAAAGGGCTGGGTGTTGCGTCACACTCCAGACGCCTTTCTCAGAGCAATTGCTTTTATACCCTCTCTCTGCCTTGGCTGTGCAATTATCCCTGAACTCCTCCCCGGCACTTTCCATTTCCTTCCTTTTATCTCCCCGCCCCTCCCTTAAGGACACACCCCTCAAGCTCTTCCTGAGCCCATAGCCTCTTCCCGTCGCCCATCACCACATTCTCCAATCTTTTAGTGTTTCCCCTTTTTGTCCCGTCTCTCTTTAAATCCCCGTGCCTATCTTGAATTTACGCATGCAGGGGAGTGTCCACTTCCGTCTCGGACGCCGTAACTGCTGCTCGCTGTCTTTTCCTTTCTGAGGGTGAGGGGTAAGGCAGGGGCCCTCCAACTACCTCTATCTTTCAACTGGGCCCTCCCCCCTTTAGGTAGAGAAGGGCCATCCATGCTGGACTGCTTCTTCGGCCCCATCTCCTCCGAGTTCCCTCTGCGTTTCAGCCGTCGTTGAGGGAGGGGTTTGGGGACGCTTGAGTCTCTGGAACTGTTTCCCATGGCCCATCCACTTCCTGGTATTCGCGGGGAGCCTGGCGCTGGCTGCGCCAGTCCCGCAGCAGCAGCCTATGAGGCCGCGGAGGAGCCTGCGGCAGGACAAGGACCATGGTGCAGTGGGGAAAGAGGCTTCAGTCTTTCCCCCTGTGCTATTTTCCCCACCTGAAACAGCACTGAGGGACATTCTTTGCCCCACTGGGGCGCCTGCAAGACAGAACATCAATCAACATTAGTTTGACCCTGAAAGTATTACAGTTTTGCCCTACAGCTGAGGCTGTCCTACTCAAAGAATACCCAAGTACTCAAAGAACTACCCAAAAATCTCACTTGGGCAGACAGAGCCTCTTTTTTTAAAATTAGAAGAAGGCAGTCTTCAAGAACACTCTTTAACAACTTTAAATAAAGCTAAGGGTTTGTCACCTATGGCTTTAGGAATATAGGCCGCACAGTGCAAAGCAGGAGGAATTAATGTAAATTCCAAAAGGCCAATATATTTTTTCAGTGCCAGAAAAGGATCATCAGATAAGGGGGGGGTACTCTCTCTGGTTGATACAGACTTTGTTGAGCAAGATACCAATAATTTGTGTTTCTGAGATGTTAACTAACTTGGCAAAGCATATATTAATGCAATAATCTAAGTGTATATATTTTATCACATAAGAATGAATTTGAACAAGTCAATTAAATAAGAACAAATGAGTAATTGAAATTTACAAAATTACAGTCCATGTGAGTAGAGGACAGAAACTTCAGTCTTGTTTGTTATCAAAGCTCTTGGTCTGGCCTACATTCAAATATTTTGCTGTGTAAGCAACATGTAAATATGCACAGAAAACTTGGCTATTCAATTATTGAATAATGTTTAACTCACCAAATTCTTATCTCAGGAAAACCAACAGTTACTTGGAAACATATTTTGGTTAAAGGATGTTATCAAGATCTTTTTTTTCACTTCAGTTTTTCATTTTGCAGAATCATTGAATAAATATTGTTTCACTTTCTGTATGTACACAGTATACTTCTGTACACATTCAAACTGAATACTTTCTTCATGGGAAGTTAAAAATGGCCAAATTAATCAGGGAGGAAGAGAGACTCTCAAAAGCTTATACTCTGAAACTCTCATTCGTCTCTAAGGTATTACTGGACTCAAATCTAATTGATTTTTTGTGGCATACATTTTGGGAGTCAGATTCTACTTTGACAGCTAGATTAAGTGTTATATCAATGATACTGTGAATTTCACCACAAAATACAGTCAACAATTGAACTTACCATATTCAAAGTTGTTGATCTGTCTTGTTCATACTGTCTAGCTGTTGATCTGACTAGTTCATACTCAACAACCATATACACCTGCTGAACTAATCTGTATTGCATTGTCACTAAACTGATCAACGGAAATTAATGTCATGGGATGGAGGCGGAAGATCAGAAAACCACTCTAGGAGTGCTATTACATCAATAGTGGCTCCTGGCTGAACTGAATTTTTCTGACCAAGCAAGGAAGGTACACAATTGGAAAGTGTACCTGACTATGGCAGCAAACTATCAAGAATGAGGTCTCTGATTAATATCTTTGCCTTTGGTCACAGACAATAGTCATCACAAAAAGTCACCTTGGTCAATTTATAAGAAATTATTATTGCATTGTAATGTCAGGACGCATTGTGTAATCTTTGTCTTACCACTGAGGAAGGCCAATGGCCAAAATGCATATGGTCGTCAGGGTCAATAATGGTCATTTTTGGTTGTCACTGTACAATTTGATTCTAAATTGAGGCTATCACCAGGGCCAATACCTTTTTTTAAATTCACTTAAAAACTTTGTAACAAATACATGTATATTTTTGTATCTCTCTTAATAGTTAATTTTTTTTACTTGACTAGCAGAATTATTGGTGTCATATTAATGACTCTGTGAATTTCACTACAAACGCATTCAACAGTTGAACTTACCATATTCCAAATTGTTGATCTACCAGCTGATCATCTGATCTGTTCTGTTCATACCCAGCAGCCACATTGTTGTTGTTCAGTCACACAGTCGAGTCCGACTCTTCGCGACCCCATGGACCAGATCACGCCAGGCCTTCCGGTCTTCCGCCGTCCTCTGAAGTTGGCTCAATTTCATGTTCGTTGCATCTATGACACTGTCCAACCATCTCATCCTTTGCTGTCCCCGTCTTCTTTGACCTTCAATCTTTCCCAGCATCAGGGTCTTCTCCAGTGAGTGCTCCCTTCTCATTTGGTGGCCAAAGTATTTGAGCTTCAGTTTCATTATCTAGCCTTCCAGGGAACAGTTAGGGTTGATTTCTTTTAGGATTGACTGATTTGATCTTCTTGCAGTCCAAGGGACTCTCAAGAGTCTT